TCTTAGGTTCAGCAAAAACTGAATGACCTTCAGATAGAGGAAAGGTCAGTGACTGCCCAGCTCAGCTGGAAGAGAGCCCTCGAGGACAGCTCTCCTGTTATGGTCAATGGATCAGCAGCTCACACAACAGATCTGCACCAAGAGGACCCCTTCCAGGAAGACCAGACTTCAGAGCTCAAGGAGGAACAACCCACAGCTATCTGCAGTCTTCAGAAAGAACAATTGGATCAAAAAGAGAAAGGAGTGACTGAGATGGAAGAGGAACATGAGAAGGAGGATGAGATTCCAAACACAATAGAGGAGGAAAAGCTGAAATCTGATGCCTTGGATGATCTCTTTACTAGTCTGGCCTCTTCTGACATGTACAATAATCTGTCGAACCTCACCAAGCCACAGGAGAACACTGTTAGGGTAATAAATGAACCTGCCTCAGTTGTCAATCCTTTTCTAAATGAAAAGAAGCCACTATAAGGCCTACAACTGCACTTATACCACAGCTGTATAGTGTTTAACAACATTATAATTTTGTTTTAGATGGGGTTTTTAACACTCATCAAGCATGAGCAAGCAGTGCAACAGAATTCATTTACATTCGGTGTGATCACAGTTTTATAGGAGACAGGAATTACAGTATTATGTATAACTTCTCAGTGTCTCTGTAGGTAACACTAGTCATTACTGTGTTGTCTTCTCATGTCTTCAGGAATACAGTAGCCCTGCTCCTGATGCCTCCTTAGTAATTGCAGAAGACACAGAGGAACTGCCTGAAGAGAGCCCACCAAAGGTAAAGTTATGAGTCACTGAAGAATACCTACAGTGGGTACGGAAAGTATTCAGACCCCCTTCAATTTTTCACTCTTTGTTATATTGCAGCCATATGCTAAAATCATTTAAGTTCATTTTTTCCTCATTAATGTACACACAGCACCCCATATTGACAGAAAAACAGAATTTTTGACATTTTTGCAGATTTATTAAAAAAGAAAAACTGAAATATCACATGGTCATAAGTATTCAGACCCTTTGCTCATCCCTGAGATGGTTCTACACCTTCATTTGAGTCCAGCTGTGTTTGATTATACTGATTGGACGTGATTAGGAAAGCCACACACCTGTCTATATAAGACCCTACAGCTCACAGTGCATGTCAGAGCAAATGAGAATCATGAGGTCAAAGGAACTGCCTGAAGAGCTCAGAGACAGAATTGTGGCAAGGCACAGATCTGGCCAAGGTTACAAAAAAATTTCTGCTGCACTTAAGGTTCCTAAGAGCACAGTGGCCTCTATAATCCTTAAATGGAAGACGTTTGGGACGACCAGAACCCTTCCTAGAGCTGGCCGTCCGGCCAAACTGAGCTATCGGGGGAGAAGAGCCTTGGTGAGAGAGGTACAGAAGAACCCAAAGATGACTGTGGCTGAGCTCCAGAGATGCAGTCGGGAGATGGGAGAAAGTTGTAGAAAGTCAACCATCACTGCAGCCCTCCACCAGTCGGGGCTTTATGGCAGAGTGGCCCGACGGAAGCCTCTCCTCAGTGCAAGACACATGAAAGCCCGCATGGAGTTTGCTAAAAAACACCTGAAGGACTCCAAGATGGTGAGAAATAAGATTCTCTGGTCTGATGAGACCAAGATAGAACTTTTTGGCCTTAATTCTAAGTGGTATGTGTGGAGAAAACCAGGCACTGCTCATCACCTGTCCAATACAGTCCCAACAGTGAAGCATGGTGGTGGCAGCATCATGCTATGGGGGTGTTTTTCAGCTGCAGGGACAGGACGACTGGTTGCAATCGAGGGAAGGATGAATGCGGCCAAGTACAGGGATATCCTGGACGAAAACCTTCTCCAGAGTGCTCAGGACCTCAGACTGGGCCGAAGGTTCACCTTCCAACAAGACAATGACCCTAAGCACACAGCTAAAATAACGAAGGAGTGGCTTCACAACAACTCTGTGACTGTTCTTGAATGGTCCCGCCAGAGCCCTGACTTAAACCCCATTGAGCATCTCTGGAGAGACCTGAAAATGGCTGTCCACCAACGTTTACCATCCAACCTGACAGCACTGGAGAGGATCTGCAAGGAGGAATGGCAGAGGATCCCCAAATGCAGGTGTGAAAAACTTGTTGCATCATTCCCAAAAAGACTCATGGCTGTATTAGCTCAAAAGGGTGCTTCTACTAAATACTGAGCAAAGGGTCTGAATACTTATGACCATGTGATATTTCAGTTTTTCTTTTTTAATAAATCTGCAAAAATGTCAAATTCTGTGTTTTTCTGTCAATATGGGGTGCTGTGTGTACATTAATGAGGAAAAAAATGAACTTAAATGATTTTAGCATATGGCTGCAATATAACAAAGAGTGAAAAATTGAAGGGGGTCTGAATACTTTCCGTACCCACTGTATATCATACAGAAGGTAAAGATAAGATAACATAGATAAGAAGCCTTTTTTGTCATTGTATTAAAAAATACAACAAAATTGCGAGTGCCCTTCCCACCACTGGTCTGTTTCTGTACATTCTTGTCATTGTTGCTGTGTCATTTAGCCAAGTGAATTTTCTAAAATTCCTTGTACTGCAAAAACTACTATTAATGCAGTAGCCAAGTCAAGGTGTTAATGTTTCCATTACTACATCTACGGACTGTGACAATCGCACAAAAAAGTAGTAGCGTGCTCATATGTTTACAGATGCCTCCAAATGTGCGTGATGCACCAGAATACAGCCTGATCATTTAAATGTTTTTAGGAATGTATTCAGTGAAATGTGTGGCGTGGACACAGTGTTCATCATTTACTGTAGCATTTAAGCTTCTCAGCGGGGCCTTGTCACTGGTCACTAGGTTGAATCACCAGAGTCAGAGAATAAACAGGAGCCAGCAGAGTCCCCAGAAACTACCGCCTCCTCATTACCACTGCAAGTCGGGCCTCTCTCCTTGCCGCCGCAGACCAGCCCTCCCTCTCTGCATGAGATGGACTTCTTCCATTCAGACCCGTTCACCCACCGTATGTCTTCAAAAACAAATATTTATTAAGAGCTGAGGTTCCACCTGTTTCAGATTCAGATGTAGTTGTACATTTTAAAAAGTTTTGGGATCTGGGTGATGTTGTTAACTTTGTAATGTATATATCTTCTAGTTTAATATTCAGTATATTCAAGTACAATCAATGATTCAACAGTGTCAATGTTTTTTCTTCCTTTGTAGATGATCCATTCAAAGACGACCCGTTTGGAAAAGCAGATGCTGCAGGTGAATTCTTCAAGTCATATCCACACTTGAAAGTGATGAAAATACAAACTAAACTGTTTCCTGTAAAACTAATCTCAAACTGTATTAATTTCTGATCTGACAAGTGTGCATGATTTCCATATCTGTTGCTGTGTTTGTTAAAGCAGATCCATTTGGAGGAGATCCATTCAAAGGAACTGACCCCTTTGCTGTAGACTCTTTCTTCACACAGACCTCAAGCGCCCCCTTTTCCTCAGATGATCCTTTCTCTGCCTCAGCTGACCCATTTGGTACCACTCCAGGCATGCCAGAACCAGACCTGTTTGCAGCCAAGCTGAACGACGCAGCAGCTGCACCAGCAGCAGGTCCAGATCCCTTCACCTCAAAACCAACCAATCCAGCTTTAGCAACCAAGGATCCATTCAACTCCACGAGGAATAACATGGCTGAGTCTGATCCATTCGGAGGTAAAGTGAACGCCATGCCAGAGACAGATCCTTTTGGTTCTCAGGATGGAGGAACAGATCCTTTTAGCTGGTCCCCACCGAGCTCTGATCTGGCAGTGGTGAGTTGGTCTCACCTGGTCCGAGTGCAGTGAATCATGTCATGAATGTTTTATGAAGATGATGTTTGTTTTCAAAGTTAATATTTGTACACATGGTTGTTAATAGGCCTGTCTTTTTAATTGTAACCAGTTGTACAGAAGATTAGTTTTCATCATCTAGCTCAGATGCAAATATTCAAATATACTAATATAATTTGCAGACCTGCCAACCTGTATGCATTTTACGTAGCAGATACGCATTTTGACATCAAAATGCACTGTTACAATTTGTCGCTCCAAATATTATTAAATTAATAATCACAGTGCCTTTGATTCTATCTGCTCTCAACATCTGCTGCAAAAGCTGGTGACACCTTTTGACTTGACCTGGTGTGCAGTAATGTTAGTCTACCCCAATGAGCATCTAACCTATAGACCTAGGTTGTCCTGCTGATAAGAAGAAGAAGAAGAGATTGACCGATTGTACCGCCACATTTGGGGATGAAAGACAATGTGTCTCTTTAATGTCATTTCAAGTGACAGTAGCTCAGATTCATTAAGCAACAGAAACACTTGACCTTGATTTGATTCCTTACGTTCCCCCTCCTTCCTCTGGCTGGCTGGTTCCTCAAGTGAGGACTGTTCTTTGAATGCCTTTAAAAGGTAAATGAACAGAGAGGATGTGGAGAGTTGAGACTCATATTAGCCTAATGTTAAGTATGTTTATCTTTATGCAAGCCAGTTTGCTTGTTCCCTTGCTTGGCAACGTATGCTATATTGTCTGTGTGTCACAGATGGTTAAATGTGACTTTTCATAGTATTAATAATATTGATTATTGCAGCCAAACTTATAATCGTAATGAGCATTATGCACCTTGGCTGATAAAAGGCAAGCGCATGTGCAGCAGAAATTCCTATGGAGTTACCGGGAGAGATGGCCATGTCTCCACATCTCCAGACTTCCCCACCGTGCATTCTGCAGTAACATTACTGATATTGACATCAACCATCCACAGGTTAATAACTGAACATCAAATGATGTGTATTTTCAGAGCAGTATGGATGTATTGGCCCATTTTACTTCACAGTACTTGCGAGTGGTACGGCAAGACTTTGGTCAAGGTTGGCAGGTCTGAATTTGTATGATCTAAAAATTCTTTAAAAAAAGCGGAATAACACCTTAAATCATCGAATTTTAAAATGTTCATATGTATTAAAATAATAGTCACAATATCAGAGCCTTTGTTTTAATAAGAATTATCATGCTAGGTGTAGGTAGTATTAGACACCACTATTGTTTTCTGTTTATTTGATTCTTTTTTTTTTTTTAAAGCTACTGTCTTGGTCAGATTTCACACTAAAGTATCATGAAAAGCAACAGTTAAGATTTTTACATTTTCTCCAGAGTAAATAGACCCTATATTGTTTTGAGCCATACACATAATCACAGGTTTGTTGGTATATGGGGTTCAGTGGGTAGAGCAGTCGTCTCCTAACCGGAGGGTCGGAGGTTCGAATCTCAGAGCCTGCAGTCCACGTGTCGAAGTGTCCTTGGGCAAGACACTGAACCCCCAATTTGCCCCTGATGGTTAGAGCCATCGGTTGAGTTGGCGCCGCAGATGGCTGCTTCGGTTCTGTACCGGAAACAAACTCTTTGTGTGTAACATAACTGGCCAAGTAAAAGTGATTATATGATGCTGATAGAGGCAAGTTTACCGACAAAATTTAAATTGATTGCCTTACATTACGTGTACACTGCAGAGTTTATTATACCATATGCAACAGCAAGGTTTTTATATGTTTTGTTTTTAGAAAGATACTGCAGCAGCCAATGATCCGTTTGCTCCAGGTGGTACGACAGTGAGTGCCAGCTCAGATCCAGGTATGACCTGTGGAATGCTGCCATCCTGTGGGGCTAGAGGCCACTGCAGCTGTTTTAAAATTTTAAAAATATTTGGAACATATTGCACTGTACAAACTGTAGTATTTACAGCAGCTGTGTGAGTTTGTTATATGCTCAGTCACTTTGTGCTCATGTGTTTTAGATCCGTTTGCCGCTGTGTTTGGTAATGAATCATTTGAAGGGGGCTTCGCAGATTTCAGTGCCTTGTCAAAGGTAATTTTTAGATCGAGTTCAGTTGATCATGTCCTGTGCTTTGCATACACAGTACTGAAATGACACGTGGTATCGAGTGAAAAGGACTAAATGTCAAGTCATAAATAATACTGGTCAGTTTAGTTTGCGCAAGGAAAAATTATTGCAACACAGTGAACTCACTTCTGTGAAACCAGACTATGAATTGACTCAAGCTGAAAGACAGTTGGTGGGTGGAGGAGTATGCTGCGGTTTTCACAAGGAAACAGCTTGATTGTCTAATTTTCCACCTGAGGGTGTTTTTTCCTCTAAACTAGTCAGTCATTTCAGACATTATACAACAATATGTCATGTAATATCTTAAATTATTGAAGTTGCAAAAAAATTTGTGAGAGATGTCCTGCACATTGTCAGATTATCATTGTTTGTAAACCTCAACATCTCTGTGTGAATATGCACTGAAGGTGCTGAATGGTGAAAAAACCTCAGCCATATGGCAAAATGTGCTGTGATTTCACCTCTGGTGTTTTTTGTCAACATATGGTTGGATTTGATTTGATGGGAATGTTCTCTTTCAGCCAAGCAGTGCTGACCAGTTTGGCATCAACAATAAGAACCTGTTCCAGGAGGACACTCCGCCTGCCAATGCTGACATACCCCCAGCCTTGCCCCCAAAAACTGGTACGCCGACTAGACCCCCTCCTCCTCCTCCAGGTTGGTACTTGTTAATGTGCACATCACTTGGCAATAGCTGTGTTGCTTTCAGATGTTTGGGGATGTATCAGCAGTGTGTGTTAGTTATTTCAAACGGAGCCTGTCTGTGCCTCACCTGTCCAGTTAAGAGATCGTCCATCACCAAAACAGAGTCCTCTGACTCCTCCCATCGACGAGGACACTTGCTCCCACATCCTCCAGGAGACTTCTCCTCCTCTTCCTCCTCCACTTCCCTGCCTGCCAAGGATCCTTTAGCTGACCCCTTCGCCCCCTCCTCCCCTCCTCGTCACAACATACGGGCAGCTGACCGATTTGCCAGCTTTGACAAAGTGAGCACCACCCTTTCGCCCTCTCCCTCACCTCCACCTGACTCTCAATAGACATCCCCTCTTCTCTTTTTTTCCTGCTAATAAATCACATTCAGTTGTTCAGTAAGGTTACAGCCACTAAGCAAATCAGGCCAGCTTTATAAATCACTCCATCCACTGCCAGTAAAAAGACCTGAAGACGTGAACTAATTAGATCATGTAGTGCCCCACAGTAGCACAGGTTCTCAATGCTATATTTATGTTTATTTAATAACTTTTTCTGTTTCTGAAGTTGTCTTTTATCCTGTCTGCTGCTGGTGTATATTCTAGCTCTTTATTAGGAATACTTTATTTGACTTACATTGTAAAGATACTTACAAAATTATTTTCTGTTATAGATTTATATTGGGATTGCACTTAATTTAAGCCCCATGACTGAGGTTGCACTGTTACTTATGAAGAAATGTGTTGAAATGTCATTATAGCAATTATAGATACAGAAATACTTTAACCCTACAACATATATATATAATTTCAGGCACAAGTTTACTACACAAATCTGTCGTTATGATACTAAGTCCATTGTAATGGTTGGCAGTGAATGGAGAGATAAGAAGCTGCTTGTATTTGGTTCTTGTTAGTCATCCCAACCGAGCACACTGACATTACATCATGTGCATGTGCAGGTGTGTGTAAAAAGAGTTATTACAACATTTAAAAATTAGGGCCTTTTTTTCCGCAAGATATTTTCTGCACCTCAACACTAAATCTGTGTCTTGGGTCAATTTTAAAATGTCACTGGTGAATCTAGTTATTTTGGGGTTACTGGGGTCACTGACTGGGCTCAGACTGGGCACATCTGTGAGGTGTAACATCAGCTGACCTTGACTATGAAAATGCAGAGTAGTACCTGCTGAATCATTTCAGACTTTTTCTGCCTTAGAACCTTTAACTTTCACAATTCAATCACTGTTAAACTCATTGATGAAATAAGCTCCAAGACTGTATTAATACATTCCTCTCATAGGTAGCAGTGTGGTTAATCTATTAATTATTTTGCTTAACCAAGAGCAACAGAGGAACTCGGTAAACTGCATAAATAGACATATGTTAAACAATCACAATAACAAAGAAGCCAAGTTATAACTGTTGCAGCTAACAGGGAAAGTAGTCATTGGACAGTGGTCTAAACATGGGCTGTGTTGATGCATCTGGAAGAAACTGGTAACAGTACTAAACCCCTCCCAGCCCTTCCCATTGTAACATTTCGTAGAAATATACTGTCACACTGTGTGACTTCTTAAGAGACCGTGTCAATTCTAGTGCCTCTCCCATCATATGGCTGCACCCGCATGTGCCTTTTGACCCTTGAACTGCAAGCACTAACTGTGTGTTTGATTGTCTGGCTCTCGTTCCCTCACACCACAGCCTCTGCCATTCCTCAAATCAATGTTTTTTGTTTTGTTTTTTTTTTTGCTTTACATGCCGCTATTTATTTCTCCATGCATCCTTTTATCTGTCCATCCATCCATTCATTGCTTCATTTACCAGTTCATTTAGCCCTTGTCTGGTCAGCACTGTGTTGTGGAGAAACAGATCACCTGTATTCTCTCTCTGTGTCTTTACACCTCTGTCAAAGAAGTTTAATAAAGAGTTGAATTAAGGGCACCATCTCTGGCTTCTATGTGCATCCATGACATCATGATCTGCCAATTCCTGAGCTTTAAAATACCAGCATTTTTGCATTTTCAGTTCATTTATCATGAGTTGTCACCTTACTTTACATTATTGCTGACTTTTTTTCCAAAGCCTATTTTAAATTTAAGATTATTTTCTTTCAATCGGCTTCTGCAACTTGATTAAGGCATTTTCAAGATTAATCTCAAACAAATTTTTGTCTGTGCACCTTGAAATTTAGATTTTCTTATACTATAGTGAAATACACTGATCAGCCATAACATTATGACCACTGGCAGGGGAGGGGAATAACACTGACTATCTGTTACAGTAGCACCTGTCAGTGTGTGGGGGATATTAGGCAGCAAGTGAACATTCAGTCCTCAAAGATGATGTGTTGGAGGAAGGAAAAATGGGGATCTGAGTGACTTGACAAGGACAAAACTGCGATGGCTGACAACTGGATGAGAGAAATGGTGAACTGGAGACAGGGTCATGGACGCCCACAGCTCACTGATGATGAGATCAACCTACTGTAGATAAAATTTTTAACTACCATTTGTACTTTTCAAAAGATTAACATTTATTTGACTCTTTGTTAAAATGGTTGAAAATGAGAAATACTGTCCATTGGTCTTTATGAAGCGAAAGAGTCAGGGGCTGTAGTGGTGATATCACACCTAGAGCGGTGAGGATGTTGAATTTGTCTAAAAGATTCTCTAACCCGTCCTCACGACCACAGTTTTCACTCCTTTTACATAAGTTTGTCACTGAATTGTAGACACATCTGTGTTCTTCCTGACAGTAGAACTGTGGAAGCAAATTGATTCACAGATTACGCCCACACTGCAGGTCTTGGTGGGTGTTGTTGGTCTGTAGTGGTTAGTACCTACCAACAGTGTCTAAGGAAGCTGCAGAGCGACACGGGTGACAACCAACTGCCACATTGACTCAGTCCTATGTAAACAGTATTAGGCAGGTGGTCATAATGTTATGCCTGATCAGTTTAAATGGCTACATGGGTTGCAGGACAACAGGCTTCCAATATTGTACACTGTGGTGTGCTGTGGAAAATGTTTGGCAGTAATATAGATTTAGAGGATTTGCACTAAGTGGGCTAAAACATTCAAAACACCAGATTGGTCCTTTTCAGTGTTTGGGTCGAATCAGTTCAGTACCTAGAAGTTAAAAAGGTTAATATGCAACTGATCAGATCACAAATATGTGAAGTTTTCTTTACAACTCAGGAATAAAAAGCATGATCACTGTTGCTAAGTACTTCAATGATGTCTGAGTTCCTTCATGTTTAAAAGCAGCAGTGGGATACTTCTCTTACAAGTGATAAATGCATGTTCCCTCCTTAATCCATTATGTTTCCTAAATGTTATGATCATGCATGTTCTCTGTACCGTACATTGAAATCATCAGCTCTTGTGAGTGTCGTCATTGTTGCCTACTTTTCTTTGCATGAGTGAATACACACTTGTGATTTCTCTGTCATTCATGGAGAATAGTGAACGTGTTGACACAGTGCATGTCCTGTGTGTAATGATTAGCTAGTGTACTATGAATTCTCTTTCGTTGTCCTGATTTTAGTCATACAACTCATTTGTCCTCTGATCTGCTTTTATCCTGGTCCCATTCCTCCACAGAATCTGTAGTCTCGTGCCTGTGGGGTGACCTCAACTGTTGTTTTCCCCCTTAGGTTGGTTGTGTTTCACTAAGGGGACTGGAAGATACTTTGGCTGTGTAGACCACTTCGTGTTATCTGTCACACAGGTGTAACTTATGGCTGCATTACATTTAGGTGTGTCACTTCCCTGTTACCGTGCATGTTGGCGCGCTGCGATGACTCCCTGGCACAGATAGAAGTATGGGACCAAACCGAGCACACCCCTGGTCACTACCACTAAACTAAAAATCCTGTGCAATTAATAAAATGTTATTGTTTTCATCCACGAACAAAGAAGACAGTTAAATGTTTGACTGATTAAATTGAAATGAAACAAAGCGCAACAAAAGTTCTTATCTTTAGAGAGAATCGCTTTTTATATTTTCATATATTTTGTGTATCAAGCTCTATTTTCTTCCTGAGTATAGATGATACTGGTCTTAAAGCTGCTCAATTCAAGTTCAAGTGAGGCGACATACTTGGCCAGGCCTTATCTAAAAACATCCAGGCTTGGTGTGTGTAGAGGCTGATTTCACTGTGTCCTTCACTCTCTCCGATCAGTCGGTGAAACACCATCATTCACAGATAATGCTTGTGTCAGAAGTACTGGTCTGTTTTCTAGTGCCAACAAACTTGGCTTTTTGTTTTGTAACTTTTTGATATTGCTAGCGTGGCTCTGCCGATACCTTGTAATCGACCGCCACTGTGTTTCAGCTCATGTTCAGTAGCCTACTGATGCTCTTGTACCATCATCTTCCATCTGTGTGAAGTCTCACGCTCTGGTTTTTTGCTTGTTCAGGCAGTTCCTCACCATGTGGAGCTGTGTGTTGCATTAAACACAATCCAGGCCACAACTAAGTAGGCTATGGTTTTTGCAAGCTCTTTTTTAACCTTGATCATGCCCCTTGTTGTTGCGTTAAGATTCTGCTTTGGGGCATGTATTTTCAGTGTTGTTTATCTACCCTCTAGTTTAATTAGGTTCAGATATTCATTTAACATTTTAATGATGTTGCCCAGGGGTGTACTTGATTTGTTGTATACTGTTCATTTTAATTAACTACAAATTAGTGTTAGACCTGTGCCTCTCGTGTAATGACACAAGATGTCTCCTTTGAGAAGAAGTCTGTTGTCCGTAGGTTTTCAAAAGGTTGATCATCTTCTTCCTCTTCTTTCAGCTGTTCCCGTTAGGGGTCGCCACAGCAAATCATCTGTTTCCACCTAACTCTATCCTTGGCATCCTCTACTCTCACCCCAATTAATGTCATGTCCTCTTTTCATGTCCTTTTTTCAAGAGGTTGATCATAAATGTCAATTTAGGCATTTGGAGCTTTGACGCTGTGGTGACTGTTTGTTTTTGAAAAAAACAAAGAATTTTATGGCCACTTCATTATTACTACATATTACACTCAGGAGTGTTTGTTTTCGTGAGCCACAAACCAGAGTACAGTTATTGTAGAATGCCATTCACTGTGTCATCGCCATCATACAGCACAATAGATCCCACGGCTAAGTGTATACAGATTTTTGACTGGTGGTGTATGTCCACGGTTACACAACAAGACGTTGCCGGGAGTTGCCCAGGGGGCTGAGATGCAAACTCAAACAATTCTTAAGTTCTAGCCGTGTTAGGTGATGCATGTCATTCCCCTCTTTCTCGCCTCATTTTCTGCCAAACATCTTGGTGGTTCTCATGTCTTCAATTTTTAATTCGAAAATGTCTCACTCTATAACGATACATATATAACGATACATACTCTATAACGGGATGTAACGATACATCCAGCTCATGATTCGGTCCAATACACACTCATTGTTAACAGTAAGAATGAAAACTTGTCAGTTATTTGTCTTCTGTGTAAATTCCCCAAAATTGTTTTCAAACATTTTGATTCTTATTCAAACATTTCACTTATTTTGTAGATCAGAGCATAATTAGAATAGAGTGTGGCTAATGTAGCTAACCCTAATGAATGTCAGGGTCAACAACAGGATCTGGCCTATTGCCTGTTCTTGTTAGCATAAATAAGTTGACTTGATATTCCCATCCATTTTTCAGTTTCATCATGCATATTGTCACATTTTTGAATCACAATATATTGTTACACCCCTACTTGGTACAAATGTTAAATAACCAAAGGGATTATTACAGAAAATGTTTGTCTTCATGTTTTAAAAAACTAATATAGGCTGATCGTTTTTATATGATGTTTCATATATTGACCATGGCCTCAACAATACCATTATTTCTAGATTGGCTTTAAAAAAAAAATCATGACATCTCGACATGTGTCATGTAATAATGACGGCTTCAGGGCTAAACACCAAAATAGTTGCACTTCAGAAACGTAGGGTAATATCATGGCCCTGCAGTTGGCAGTTCCTCTGCTGCGTGTTGGGAGTGTGCAATGTCTTACCCAGGTATTTCTGTTATTAGGAGTTTGTTATCAGCAGGCTCTGAGCAAGGTTTCATCTTTAAGAATGTGTTAACTGCGTCCATGTGTTTGTCTGTGTTTGTGCGTCTCCTTTCTTTGCATCTCCATGTTTTTTTTTCCTTCCCCGTGTGTGTGTGTTTACTGTGTTCATGGAGTAGTACCCAACAGAGGAGGACATGATAGAGTGGGCAAAGCGCGAGAGTGAGCGAGAAGAAAAGGAGCGACTTGCCAGGCTCACCCAACAGGAACAAGAGGACCTGGAGCTGGCCATCGCTCTCAGCAAGTCTGAACTGTCTTGAGGAGTTTGTTGTCCACCTCCCTCCCCTCCTCCGCTGGCTCGGCTCAGCCCGGCCCAGAAAGCACCAAAGCAAAGTGGGGACTGATGGAGCAGCACCTGCTGACCCCATGAAGAGACTTTCTTAGAATAAACCCTTCTCCCCCAGACTGTTCAGCGTTCTCCCGTCCTATTGGCCACTGTGGTTTTGTTTAAGGAAGAGGAGCAAGTTGGAGTATTTATCCTCAAGAATGAGATGCAGAGATTGTCACGCGTGTTGATTTCAACACCAGGCTACAAACCCCACGTTAACTCTTCCCAATGTAATTTATTTAAAACTAGATTGAACTGGCTTTATCCACTAAGCAGAGTCACTTCCCTTTATTAAGTCTCCACTCTCTCACCTCTAAATTTATATTGACTGTATAATCAGTCAGTTCTAAGCATTAATCTTGTGGAGCCTAAAAATGCCCCGATGAAGCTCTGACACTGTGAATGTGAGGGTTTGGAGGCGCTGGAACAAAATCCAGATGTCTTTTCAAATGGCAGGGAGCCTGTGAGATTTTCTTTATTTCATTGAACATTTCTACATGTTTAACTGGAAGTCACCAGTCCTCTATGTGATGTGCATGTGCAACTTTATACTAAAATGGAACAAATTCACACAGCTACTACATTCAGCCTCTAGATACTTCAGGTTCTTTTAAATATCAGCTTGTTGCTTTGCCCAGCAGCTGTTCTGTTCTGTTCTGTGTTAGAAAGTGCATCTTTGGGAGATACTGAAAGGAATAAACTACATCAGTTTAATATGTAATAACTACACATTAATTTGCATTTATTTTCAGGGCACACTACAGCAGGTTGCAGAAAACTTTTTTTTTTGGGACAATTTCTCCCTTTTATTTAAAGTGTTAATACAAGAAAGCAATACATGTCAAAGTCATCTTGAGATTGTGTTTAAGTGAATTACACAGAGTTCTTGTAATGATCCAGAGTAAAGACAAAACAAAGCCAATACATAAATATAAATGTATCAATTCACAAGCATCCACAAATAGGAGGAAGTTTCTCCTTTCTTTAAAAAACGAAATAAAATAATTAAATCCTAAACTCAGTTTGCTCCAATACAAATTAATGTTGCTCATTCAGAACCAAAATATGAACTGAGATGTGACCATTCTATATGAAAGTCATAAAGTTCCAAATGGCACATTTGACAGCCTTTTGCTAAGGAAACATCATTTATCATACAGGTGGATGGTAAGCTCGACCTGGACGACAAATATTAAATATCCTGGGTTTAAATAGTGCAGCTCTGAATTATTTCATTGTGCAAATGTTGATGTTTATTTAGTATGAAACATTGGTTGTTTACTAAACAAAAAACAAAAAAAGTGGCTGCAGTACTGGTGAGTTTGGGCATTAGCAGTTTAACTGAAACTGGTTTGTCATAGATGACTGTACAGTTTGTGTGTAGAACAGATATTATGTTCACATTAAATAAATAGTATTAATGCTCTCGTTAACTCAGATTGATCTACAGAAAGAACCTCACTGTCCCGACTGGGAGGCCAGAGGTTGGGGTCAGACACAGGCCAGTCTTCCTAAAGCGGTATCTTAACTACAATAGCATGGATTCTGGTTAGCTAACGATTTCTAATGAAGCAAGTGTATAAAAACCTCTTGAAGGAGTCAGTGTCCACATCGGGTCCCTGTTGTCGCTGATGTTGCTTTTTTTGTTTAGCATTTGTACGGACTTGCTTTCAGTTTTTCAGGGGAGGCCTCTCTGAGAGGCGAACCAGATTTCTTACATTTAGTCAGTTAAAGCTGCCTCTGCTGTTTAGGTGAAGCACATTGTCTTCTGTCTGTGCACTCGAGTCTCTGTGGGTATTTAACTTGCAAAAAGCCCGATGGTGTCAGGACAACGGCTCTTGTTTCTAGCGCCTGTACAGCAGTTGACTGGCCAGTGATTCTTCTTCTTGGGTGCTGAACTTCTTGAGTGCTAATCTGTGATGGACAAGGGACGACTTGATCAAAGTGTGGGACACCTTTGTTTTCATTTTCTTTGCTAATTTCTGACCAAACAATGCACAACACTTTGGATACCTCTTCCTAGTGAGCAGCGTCATGTCCTTCTCTCATGTGTCATCAGTTTACTGTCTGTGGTTGCACTTC